CTTTACTGAAGCATTGTTTTTAATATCACAAAATTATAAACAATGAAATATTTATTAATAGGAGACTCATTAAATATATTTTGGCAGACTCTTATTACGGGACACCATTTACCTTAAAAAATTATGAATAAAGTTTTTATATTTAGAAAGATCTCCATGATATATAATTCAGTGGGGAAAAAATACAGTACAGTGTGGTAGCTTTTTTCTTTATTCATGACTGCATGAAGATGCTCTGGAAAGTTGTACTAATGCCAGAAACATAAAAGTACTAACAGTGCAGGGGGGTTATGGTAAAAATAGGATTGCTTATATGCATACCATTTTCTTTTAAGAAACATACAAATAGGGCTATGGATATAGTTCAGTTTGTAGAGTGTTTGCCTACCATGTCAAGGCCCTGAGTTCAGTTCCCAGCAACACACACACACACACACACACACACACTCAGAGAGAAACATGAGAATATAGTACTGGTCATAGATAAAATAAATACACAATTATACCACAACAAAATAAAATTTAAATAATCTTAGAAAAACAAAATTCGGCACATTAGTGTTTTTGGACCAACTCTATATTCAAAATTCATAATTTTATAATCAAACTCACTGCTTTTGTCATTAACATATGAAAACTTAAGTTGGACTGTTGAGTAGCATTGTATCATAAACTCAAAGGTGAATAAAGGTGTTAAAATATTAAGTAAGGATTAATTTTATGGTAGATATAAGATGATCCAGCAGATGCGTCATTTTTTAGATTATAATTGATATTAAATACAAATTGAGAAATTCTAATACCTAAATCATGGTTTTCAAGAAAACATATCCAGAAAATGTCTGAGGATGGCAAGGTACTATCTCACCTTAATGAGATAGTACTGGACTTAAGGATGAAAATATTTGATTTGAATCTTAATTTCTTATTTACTAGTTATATGGCCTTGAACAACCTGACCCTATTCCTCATAGTTAATTGGAGACACTAATTAACACCTCAGATAGTTATTCAAAGGGTTGAATGAAATTATGTTTCTGAAAACAAGGGACTGGCCAAAATTAAGTAAAACAACTATAGTTTCAACTTTCACAAAAATAAGAGTTGAAGTATTAAACTTTAAGATCCCTCCTAATTCAAATGTTCCTATTTGTCATTTTAATATGGATCATTCATAGAAACCAAAATAACAGGGGTTAGCAATTTTGATTATTTTTAATCCCTATTTTACTTTAGCTGTCCTGGGGGCTGAGTTTTACTAGTATCAAGAAAAATAACACATGAAAATTAAACTATACTGCAATTTTCCCAAGTGTGAGAACGTTTAAATACTGCTGGTGACAGTAATGTTTTTCCTAACTTTGAAATTAAATTCATTCAGAGGGCCAGGCATTTGTACTATGGTGCATTTCCCACATCCTTGAAGAAACTGAGGGATTTATTTTTTCAATTAAATATTGAAAAAAGGAAAGATGAATCATTTATATGAATATACTGTATACAAAAAGTCATGTATATTGTACATTCTGTATAGCTTCAATGATTTCCAATGTTAATGTAGACTAGGCAAAAATTATTAGTTGACATTACCACCTAGCTCCTTGTCTAAGCAAAAGAAGGTAACTGTGAAATGTATGGGTAAAGAAGGACACAAGAGGCAAATATATTTTTGAAACATTACTAAATATGTTTTTCAAGCACCTTTAATGCATCTGACTGTCTCAGAATCAGACCTAGGTTTTTTCCATTTTTGTCATATTAATATTAATTTAACTCTCATATCTTTCAGAAAACCTAGTATTCAAATATTTAAGCAATATCCTTGGACATTTCATAAATGTAACAATACCTTGCTATAATGCAAAAGAAGAGAAATACAATTAGATTAAATAGTAAAAATATAGCAAAAATATTTTCAGTGACCTACTAATAATCAAACAAAAGAGACTGCTGCCGTGAGTACATACAAAGGTTCCTCATCTCAAACATCTCAGACTTACTCTGTCAAGGACATACCACCATCACAACCAAGATTACTGCCCTCACATCACTGCAGGACAGGCTCTTCTTCACTCCCAAGCTACTACTTCTCAGTGAAGAAACTCACGCATGGAA